ACACACACACACACACCCCAATATCTAATCTGGAACCTTGATTACACCACCCCACTCTCCCAGCACACACACACACACACACACACATACACACACACACCAGTATCTAACCTGTAACCAATTTGTTCTTGTTTGATCTTTATCATCTCACCTACACAATTGCAAAAGCCTCCTCATAGATCTACCTACCTCCCATCTCATTCTACTCAAACTCAAACTCACCCTCTATTTTGCTGTCAAAGTTATCTTTTAAAATTCCATAGCTAATCATTTCTTCTACCTTAAAAAGTTTTGAGGGCACCCAGATTTTCCACATAGTAAAGTCCAATGTAATCGGCATGTCATTCAAGCCCTCTCATGCTCTGGTTTCAGACTACATTTCCATTCTCATTCTCCTACCATTCTGCCCTGTCTTCTAGCCATGGCGTTTCACAGATTTGCACTTTTGCTCATGCTGTGCCTTCTGCCTGCTAAAATCCTGTTCACACTAAAAGCCCATTCCAATAGATTCTTATTTTTATGTACTGGGTGTACATACACATGTATTAGAATGCCCTACTGGATTTTACACACTTAGAAGACAGAAACTGTTCTTTCTTTGTCTTTCAATGTACTTAGTTGCCAGCAAGTAAGAAGGTTCAAAATGTTTATGAAAAATGTAATTAAAAATAAGTTTATTTTGGGTGCAAGAATAATTTTTGAAAGCGATGCAGTTTTTTCATAATATTCATTTTCCATGAGCTTTTTGAACAACCCCTATAATTGTGTAGTAAGTACTGGTATACTTTGAGAATATAAATATACATTTGCATATGTGTTAATCCATATCTGTATCTATCATTCTGTCCTTTGGGAACTTATAATCCATTAGTAAGCAGGGAGATACTATGTACAATCCATTTTTTCTGCTAAAACAGATGCAAAAAAATATACTTGCCCTTAAAGGATTTAATAGTTTAGTACCAGAATGATATAAGAACGAGTCAAAGAGATAAAGAAGAGGAGATAAGAAAAGGCATCACAATGATTGATCAGTTGGTTGAATCAATCCCTTCCTTGAACTGTTTAAAGTAGCTTAAAAGATAATATGAAAGACATCAAATAACTTTAAATACATATGTAAGATGAAAGCAAATCATAAATAAGGTATATTTCTTGAGTTGGACCTTGAAAGATCAGTAGAATTTTGAACATTGCAAGAAAAAAAAAGATCAAGGCAAGGGCAAAAGAAATTGAGACAGAAAGGAGAGGTGTTGAAGGAGTTTGTAATGGGTAACCTGAAACTACTCAAAATAACAAGGAATCACAAAAGGTTGGAGGATCTAAAGGTAAAATTAAATACCTGGGGATATTGTTGTCAGGACATTTTTATAGGAATCCCCAAATGAAAGAATTGCCATGCAAAGTACAGGGAGCTCATTCAGCACGGTGACCTACAATTTTGCCACTCCATTTCAGCAATGGAGACAGTGTCATTGCCACAGCTTGAGGAATTGACATGTACCAAGGATGACAAAAGTACAGCAATGAAGGAGCCCAGTGGATCAGGATTCTACAGCCTGACCCTCCCTCCAGACCCTTTATATTCCTGGGGGCCTGCCTCTCCTACCTCCATCCATTTTCCTTGATCTCTCCCATTTCTCCAGCTTTCCCTAACCACTAGTACTTTCCCTCCTTCCTGTAGACTTGTCTAGCTGTCTCTTTTTATTGAGAGTGGAGTGAAAATAAAGCAAACCTCCTTTGATCCTGTTCCTTTGCCAGATGTCTCCAAATTTACCCCTGCCTTACTCATGCATACTTTTCAAAGCAGTCGTCTGCAGTAACTGTCTTCATCCCTTTTACTTAACTGGTTTTGTCCCCACAGTCCTAGAAAGAATCCTCGGTGACCCCCAGTGAGTTGCTCTAAATTACCAAAACAAAATGGCGTCCACTCCTTCTAGGACCTCACTGTCATAATTAACAGCTGGCTCACACCCTTATTCACGAGACTCTTGATCCCTCTGGTTTCTGAGGCAATCACCCTCCTTCTGTTCCTCATTCACTTCTTTTTCCTTTGTTCTCTCATGGTGTTCCCCAGTTCTTCTCCATGGGTGCTTTTATCTACCTCATAGGTACAGCCACCACCTAGTTCCTGATCATCCCAAAATATGCAATAGACCACAGCCTCCTCTAACTGCCTGCTGACATGACCTCCTACCAGTTCCCCAGGCCACTAACCATGTACAAACAGGAGCACATCATTCCTCCCCATTGCACCTCCAAAATCTCTCTCTCCTCCAGAAGTCTTCCCACCAAACCCCTTAACCATCACGCACGCAAACATTCATCCTTGACTCTTACCTTCCACTCATGTCTACATTGAATCAATAGTCAAGTCCAACTCTAGTATTTCTATAACATTTTCCATTCCTATTACTATTGTTCT